TATATATATATATATATATATATGTATGGATACTTTGTATATGTACTTGACAATAGCGGAAAGAAATGATTTGCACGCGGCAGTACTGAGTTAAAACCTACGGAGTAGAGTTGAGCATTATGATTCGACGTAACGAGCAAAGTCGGTACTTTCCTTCCGGGATCGGTGCACGAGTAGTGTAGAGACGCAGCTTTACTTGTTGTATTATATAGATATACATAGCTATTACTAGATCTGGTGTGTTGTTCATTATATTGTGGGCCGTGCATCACGTCGCGAAATAATAAACATACAACGCGGCATTGTACATTGTACAGGGAAAAATTAGTCGAGTAAGAGCGCGATTATTAACCATCAGACATATTAAATTATGTTATATCGGAAACATATTAATGCACAATTGAAGGTTATTACTATTAACTTGTAAATGAAAAATAATTTACAACTAACAACACAGCTTGCGATATCTCCAGTTTACATGCCGTATTCTGTCAATATTTAATGATTTTATTATTTGCATTGGATAAATAAATAAAAATATTAAATATTCATCCGTTTGATTATCTGTCACCGTTATGTAATCCGTGTTATTACTGTCATTTATTTATTTATTTTATATTTATTCATTTTCCTATTTAATTCATGTATTCAATGTATTGTTGTTTTCTGCCGTCAGTTTGTTTACGTTCAACTATACTTTTTACTGTCAGTGTGACAATATGTTACACATACACATTTAATACACGGTTGACTGACGTTACGGGCAGTAGGCAGTAAGCAGTAGTTACCATTATATGTATTATATTATATCGTATTGTTCTAGGGAAACCTTGAGGAAATTTATATCTTGTGTTTATAAGTACCGTACTGTGTGTTAAGACTCGTGTTATGTTCACGACAACTTTTAGCTCAGCTGATCCTGTGAATTAGAGACAAAAACATTCCCATGACCTAAATTTTATGTTAATTATTTGTCTTTACGTTTATTTATTTGAATAATCTTTATTTTTTATAGAGTAACTTTTTTTTATACTTAAAGCCCTTTTTTAAGCATTGGCCAAAATTTATTATTAAGTCAGATTGATTTTGTAGATGGCTAAATAATTTTTGGGCTATGAACAGAGTTTTAAAATTAAATTTTATTTTTCCGTAGAAAAATAATAAATTGATTCTTTAAATTTAGTTTTTTAAATTAATAATTTTTTTATTAGAAAATTAAATTTCATGAGTTAATATATATTCAATTAAAAATTCACAACCCTGGCTAAGAAATATTTTTTATATATTTTTTGTTGGCTCCTGAGTCCAAAATTTTTTATTGCAATGAATAAATTATAATAAATAAATACGTTTAATTTTAAGTAGGTATTTATTAGACAAGTGCAAGTTATAAAATAATTTCATAAAAATCCCAATTTGTTATGAATGAATAATTTTAAAAGTTTCCTGTTTTTTTTTTTTTTAAAGGCGGCCTATTTTGCAGCATTTAAATTTTATTTTACGACTAGATCTTATTGATGTCAAATTTATCGACTAAAAACAAGTAGTTTTTTTCTTAGGAAGCCCATTTTGCCCCTGATTTATTAAGGCTTTAAATTTATTCTCTGACCACACCATAAAAAGCAAAAAAAAAAATCAAATTTATACGTCTATAAAAAATTTCTCGAATAAAAAATAAAAAGCCGACATGTGTCGTCAGTTAATTCTGCTGACGTAAGTGGACGAATTAAAATATCCATAAATATATTACAATGGTCAGCATCCAGCGTATCCGATAATTATCTTGTACACCTGAGTTAATTATACACCCGTATAAATATATCAACGCCCTGATCTTGGAATCTTAATTTTTAATGCATAACTCTCGTATTAACTTCACCAGAAATAATATTTGACCATAATATATTTAATTACACACATGATGGTAATATTTTGCCGACAAGTTACGATAATTGAAGCTCAGTACATTAAGATCTACGATAATTCAAATTTAAAAACAATTTTAATAAATATTTTATTATTTTTCTTCATCTTCACATTTTATGCATTTATATATTTATATCTTTCATATTTTATACATTTGACCACCCAGGGATAATTTTCTTCATATTTATCACTTGAATTAATATTATTAAAAATTAAATTCACTTGCTTACAATTTGCCGCCAAGGCTGACAATACTTTCTCGTTTTTTAGTGTACATGCCACCATAAATGTATGTACCGATAAAAAAAAAAAAAAAAAAAAAAAAAAAATTACCAGCACCATAACCACCTTGATGTATTTTTCTTGTCAAACGAGTAAATAAAAGTAGTCATCATCACGGTTCAAGGAGTCAATTCCGGAAGAAGCTTTTACGCTTTTTAAAACTTTAAAAGTTTTAATTGAAAAAGAAAAAAAGTTACTTGCCTATTAATTAAAAAATAATTTATTAGCGTAATCTATTTAATTATTCAACAGGTTGCGTACATTTATTGCATATTTGATAACGCATAATAACAATTACATAAAAAATGAACAATGTAATTTATTAAGTCAATCATAATAAATATTATGTTGATTCGAATAACAATATTATTATTAAAAGTCCCGGGTGTAGATTAACGATTAACGATTGTCTCGTGCGCATAAAATTATCGCAATACAATAGAATACAATGCGAGTCGAGTCAATAATTCTATTATGTATTATTAATATATATATGTTTATTCCATCTTTGGCATTTATTTTTTCAATTAACAATAAATGCATATTTCATGTGTGATTTTTAAAACAGATACTTCCGCATCGGGATAACAGATATGTTTATTAATTATTATTGACAGAGGCATAGGTTTTGTTTATACTAGTGAGATGATAAAATAAAAATCAATAGTCAAGTGCTATAGTGTACTGAGAATCCGAGATCTTTCTTATTATTATTACAAATTGCAGCTTCAAGCATCTTGATACTATCAAGTGTGATTTAATTGCAAGGTGAACGAGTTTACATTCTAACTTTTACGACACTTATATTATCACACCAAACTTGACGACTTGATGTAATTTACTTATAATTGTTGTGACATTTTAAGTAATTGTAGAAAAGTTTCATTTATTTAATCAATCATGATAATGGTATCTGCTTTATTGCTAAGTTATATTAAGGTTTATTGCGATAGAAATATTAATTTATTGGCTTTTCAGTTTTTTGCATATCTATACTACAGAATTTATTATTACTGATAATAATTAATAATTTGTAATTTTTAAACCTTGTCAATTTTTTATTGCAAATTTAAATAACATTTTTGCAATTTTAATAATTTTTTTAAATTAACAATTAATGTTATAATATAAATTCACTGAAAAGTACAAAAATTTTGAAAAAAAATTTTATAAAAAATGTGTCTATTCACTCGTAAAAAAATCCTGATAAATCCACGCAGCGTGAATATAAGGGCCTTTATATTCACGCGGCGTGAATTTATTAGGACTTTTTTACGTATGAATAGACTTTTTATAAAATAATAATAAAAATAAAAATTACTTTATCAATTGCGATATTTGTAAAACTTAAAAGCTTAACCTTCGCCAAAGACATCACAACAATAATTTTTAATATTTAATCTTAATCCCCAGACTTCGATTCACTGCATCTAAATAAAATTGATCCTTATGAATATTAATCCGCGTATTAAAAAATTATAACAATAAAAATAATTGAAAAATTA